GAACATCTACATTAACAAATACTGATATCTAAGCTACAATGCAAGACGAACATCGATGAATCCGTGGTTCTCAAAATGAAAAACAAAAACAAATTAGAGGACTATAACAGGCTAAAAACAAGGCAATCAATTAACAGGAGGCCATAACTGCAGTAAACGGACAGCGATGGAAAACAACGATAGATCCAGCAGTTAAAAAGAAACCAGAAAATTAAAAAATTTGAAATTAAATTACCTTTATGAGGTTTCAGCTATTCGATCAAAGAAAAAAGATTAAGAAGAAAAGGGAACAGAAAATCTTGGAATAGAAGTGGGAAAAGTTCTTCAGGCGAAGAATGAGGAAATCTGATTACCTCCCCACTGTTTATATACTATATTCAACTAACGTTCGGGTGACTGCATCCCATTTTCATGGCCAATATTGCATTTTCTTCTGGATAAACTACACTATAGGTTATTAAACTTTGTAAAAATGATTTGTTTGGTCAACAACCTTCCAATTATTATAAATTAACCATTAAACTTTTTAAATGATTACAAAAAAAGTCGTAAACATTTACAAAATTATCTTTTAATTATCAAACTATTACAAAACAATCCTTAAATTTATCTAAATTTATTACTATTTCAACGTTACGTGAAATTCCTTTCAATGATTATTTTATAACATTTAATAGATGCTTGACTAAAGATAATTTATATAGTTCAATAATTTATAGTATATTTTATATATCTTTTAAATATAAAATTATTTAATTAAAACATATTTACGAGTTGATTAGTATTACTTTAGTTATATGGATAGGAGTACTGAGATAGTTGTATACCTAAAAATTTTAAATTCACATATAATTTATATATATCGGTATTTGCTATTGATGATCGAATTCACATCATGGAATTTTGTAATTTTACACATATTAATTTCTAATATAATTTTTTTAAAAATCATACCTTAACCTCAAATCTGGTGTTTGTTTTTGTATGTATTTAAAGAGATCAATCCATCTTATTTATAAGTTCACGACCAATCATTTATTTATAAAATTTTCATTTATTATATTCTTATAATTTTTAAAATTACTTTCACATAATATATCAATTCATTTCATTTGTTAGCATATATGGTTTGCAATTGCAGTTATAGTTAGAACAAGAAAATATTATTTTTCATATTGCATGAACCAAACTATCTCGTTAGTAAATGAATTGTTGTCGTTCTTTGAGGTCCCGAGTTCGAGCATCAGAATGGCAAGGTCTGAGCGTTCAATGTCAAATGATTGAAAGTTATCTTTTAACATATATCGCCTTGTACTTACCCAAATTAATAGAAAAAAGGTGGAAGAACGAATTTATAAATGTTTTGGGCCTAAGTGCAATATTTCCATTGGATTAGATTATAATTGTACGAGTGCTTAAGGGACTAAAGAGTAAAATGTTCGTTTACCCTCTACCTTCTTCCTCAATTTCTCCCAACGTTGCTTTTCTAAGATTCGAGGTCAGGGGTGCAATCAAGTGTTGGAGAGACTTTGATCTCTTGGTTAAGTGGTCTAATTGCTTGGGTTTTGGCAATATTATATTAAAAACCCCATTAATTATTTTATTTGAATAGTAACCCCTTAACAGATTCGTTAAATAAATACTTTCAAATTGCACACGTATGATATCTCGCGTCCTATTCAGCGCGAGAACGTGTCTATCTATCCATAAAGGAACGTCCAACGTGAACGTCCGACTGAACGACATTTTCATAGGATGTAATTTAATATTGATATTTAGTACCTCACGTTTTGCGTAAAGCAAGGTTTTCGAGAAAATGAACCGCCACAAAAAATTATCGCGAGTGTATTAAGGTATCTCACGTTTTCAAAGCGCGAGATCTTTGTTTTCCATTACAAATCCCATGTGTTAATATGCATGTTCAGGGGGCATGTTCGACGAGTATTTAATCTTGAAATTTTGGACAATTAATAGATTAGAGGCATAGTATTGATTTTTTTCTTTTAGTTGAGACAAATATAGAGATATATGAGATATCGCAAGCTGGTTGAAAATCGATTGAAAATGATTCCAAAGTTTATTTTGTTCATTAAGGAAATGACAAAATGGTTGGGTAGACATATTCGATGTTTTTTTCCTAGTAGTCAATCTAAAAAATTGCATAATTTCTAAGAGTATAAGTGTAGTATTGCAACTGATTTTTGGTCTAAACGTGAGGTATATTTTGTAACACCCTAAATCCGATTGGATCTAAACTTTTGGTCATTTGCATTTCATCTTGTATTCAAAAATCCCTTTTTTATGACTAATATGACCTCAAAGTCATCCCAATTAAGCCCAACAACTTAATTTAGAATTTCACATGTTCATTACCTCTAGGGTAAACTCGAAACTACTAACCCGTAATTTAGAGTGCTACGCATTCAATACCACTCGCGATAAATTTCTCACGGTGATTCATTTTCTCGAGAACCTTGCTTTACAAAAAACGTGAGGTATTAAATACCAATATTAAATTATGTCATCTGAAAAGGTTGTCCACGTCGGACGTTCCTCGTGCCTTGTGGATAACGAGACGCGTTCTCTCGCTGAATAGGACACGAGATAATCTTACGTGTGCAGTTTGGGGTATTTTTCTAAAAATTTATTAAGGGTTATTGTTAAAAAATAATTAATGGGAGTTTTTAATGTAATATTGCTTGGGGTTTTATTCTTTCTTATATATATATATATATATATATATATAATTTAGTTCTTTTTAGCCTTTAAACAAATGGAAAATTGTAATGTTGGTCTCTCCAATAAATAATGCACTTGAAATTGATTTGGGGCCTAACAACAAAGCTAGTGTACCTTGTTTAAACCTCTTTTCAAGTAATATGCCATGAAAGTGAAGGATTATGAGTTGGAATGGATATGAAATTCAGATTTAATTAGTTTTGATTTGATTTAATTTTATTAGATTGATTTTTTAAGAAAATTTAGATTTGGATTAAATTCAGATTTAGGGTAACAGGTCTGTGGTTAAATTCTACCAAATATCATAATGTAATTGTATCTTATATATTTAAGAATAATCGTATAAAATTGAGTTTTAATTGGACTTGATCTCATAGGATTGAATTATTTAAAAAAAATAAGGTTTGGATCGAGTTTCGATTTAAAGAGAAAATTCTTTGACATGATCCCACTAGATATAATAATGTAATTATCTATTATATAGCTAGGAATAGTTGTAACAATATTTCTTTCTCTATATTTTTTCAGTAAGTCTCTATCCATTGAATAAAATTGATAATTATATATATTTATGTCAGGTAGGTACAGTGCGAATTTTTACCTCTTAAAATTAGATCAGATTTTAAATCGAATGAAACCTCTCTAGACCCAGATTAAATTAAATCAGGCGATACGTTGAGGATATAATACTCAAATTTATTTCAGATAAACAACAATCCCCTAATTTTTTTAAATTAGATGTCTTTTTAGTTTCTAATAAAATTAATTCTTGACTCTCTAATTTTTCTAGTTTATTAACTTATTAATTAGAATTAAGGGTAAACAACACATTTAGTACCTAAACTATCAATTTTGGTCTGTTTTAATTATTAAACCTTCAATTTTTTCAAAATCATACCTATGTTTAGTTTCATTTCATTTCAATACCAGTCGCTAAAAACTTAACGCGATTAGTACCTAAATTATCAGTTTTGGTTCGTTTTAGTACTTCAACTTTCGATCTTTTCAAAACTTAACATTAAATTTTTCACAGGTTACTAAAATAAAACAAAAACTAAAGTTTTTAACGGCGGGATACTAAAATGAAATAAAAAACTAAACTTTAGGTATGGTTTTGAAAAAAATTGAAAGTTTAGGTACTAAAATGGATCAAAATTGATGGTTTAGGTATACAACACGTAATTTGCCCTAGGATTAATTTTTTGCATGTCCTACATTAATTATACAAAAAACACAATCTAAAAAAATAAATAATCAATAAGTCAAGCCACATAAAAAATTAATTACATGCTGATTCAAACACATGCATGGCTTACACATTGATAACTATCAGTTAGTTTGTTTACAAATTAATATTTAAGATTCCCTCCCCTCCCACACTATTTAATCACACTAATCTTGTTCTTAGGCAAATTATGAAACAGCAAATCGCTAATACAGAGCTGGAGAGGAACGTAAAATGGCTGTAAATAATACTTGGGGGTTCATCTTCGTGGTTAAGCTCTTGAGCTTGTTCTTGATCGTTGGGATTGCTGGTTCGCAGTCGAATGATGAATATTGGAGAGCAGCCCATGCAACCTTTTATGGTGACATGAATGGGACCGAAACAATGTGTAATTTGGAGATGTATGTATGTATGTTGTGTTTTGATTGCTTGAGGTATTTTGACAGATGGGGCTTGTGGCTATGGTGATCTTATAAAGCAAGGTTATGGTCTAGAAACGACGGCCACAAGTACAGCTCTCTTCAACGACGGTCTAACCTGCGGCGCCTGTTTTGAAATCCGATGCTTTAACTCGAGACAGTGGTGCCTAAACGCGACCATCGTCGTGACCGCCACCAACTCTGTCCTCCGAACTACAGTAAACCAGAAGGAAATTGGTGCAATCCACCGTTGAGACACTTCGATCTATCGGTCTATCCCAACCGATGTTCTGACAGATTGCTATTTATCAAGCCGGCATTGTTCCGGTCATTTATTCGCGTCCCATACGTGAGAACGGGCGGTGTAAGTTCAAAATCAAGGGGAACCAATGGTGGATACTGGTGTTGGTATACAATGTGGCGGGATCTGGTGATGTTATAGACGTTAAGATGAAGGGTTCAAGTACGGATTGGATTCAGATGTGGCGGAATTGGGGCCAGAATTGGCAAACTTCGGCTAATCTTATCGTCAAAGCTTGTCGTTTCAGGTGGCTACAAGCGACGGTAGAATGGTGGAGTCCGACACGTCGCACTGTCTGATTGGCAATTCGGTGGTGTCTATGAAGGGAAACAATTTTATATCTAAGGCAATGTACAACTACATGTTCACTACAATTGTAATGGATTGAATAACTAATATTACAATCTAAACTTCCGAAACACCGGGAATCGAAACTGTTTACAATGCAAGTTTTAATATTCTTACATCTTGTTCAACAACAATTAATATGTTCATTGTAAAAGAATAATTTCCACACAACTATTCTATATGTTACAGCCAGCAACAGGGTGTCGTCCTAAGGATGTACAGCTACAATTCGTTTTTAAGCTGATGCAAGAAGTTCTTGAACCATTTGACAGAGTCCTTGGGGTACCTCTTGAGATCGTCTTTATAGTCCACGAAATATAGACCGAATCTCGTGGTGTAGCCGGCTCCCCACTCCCAGTTATCGAGCAGCGCCCACACGAAATACCCTTTAACATTGCAACCATCTTCCCTGCAGAGTTTGTTATTCATTACACCTCAATACATGATCACAGCATATGTATGCAATTATGTAATAGTGACATTGATAAGGGATCGTTATATACTTGATAGCAGCTAGCAGGTTAGTCAAGTAATCGTTGTGGTATCGGATTCTTTTCTCGTCCTTGAGAGCATTTTTAGTGGAGATGAATGGGCTGTTTGGGTCATCGTAACCTGTCATAAACGTTCACAAAGAAGGTAATGTTAAGGTCTTGTTATTTGAAGGCAATCCAAGAATGGAACTAACTCGATTACCATTTTCCGTAACGATAACTGGAGGATTTCCGTATTTTTCCTTGACGTATTTCATTAAACTTCTCATACCACTAGGTACTACGTATATCCATATAGAATTTGCCTGCAATATGACAGAAGGATAATTAGGTACAAGAATGAAAAGAACTAAAATCCAGCTTGTGTACCTTTTTTCCTATAGCTTTCCCATTTCTGAAAGCTGCATTCATTACGAACAAAGGTGTGAAGTCGGTTAGTTACTAGCGTTTCGACACAATAAACAATTAGAACTAAAGGATGTTTACTTACGTGACGTAAAGGTACCGGAATCGGAAACGGTGTCGTGTAGTAAATTGCCGATCAGATTAGTTTTGTTTTCTCTTGCATACCAGGTGGTGTAATGGTTAATGCCAACAAAATCCAAAGACCCCTTGAGAAGAGCGGATTCAGCTTTAGTAAACCTTGGCAACCGGCTTCCTACTCTGGTTATCATCGAACTTGGATAATCGCCGAATATCAATGGGTCCAAAAACCTGCAGATATCAAAGCATTACATCACCCCAGGGTAAAATATCTTGAATACTATGAGAAGATAGTATGATAGCATGATCAGCATGCACGATCAGTTCTTTTTTACAAGTGTAACCGAACCCCGATTAAGGGATGCGAAAAATTCAGGATGATTGCGGACTTAAAGTTACCAGCCAAGCTGAAAATCTTGTGCTCTTTTAGCTGCTTCAATGTCTTCAGTTTTATTAGTCTCTGGTTCATACCAAATCACATTAAATGATACCCCAACCTGTCCATGCTGCTTTGCCTGCATAGCAACAAATTGCTCTTAGATGCCGGCTCGTTTTGTAATGTGAACCAAGTCTAAAGTCCAAAATTCATAACTCTGCTTATTTTGATTCCAATTTTCGCAAACGTAACCCGACAGTATCCCGGATTTTACCTCGTACTTTTTCCTGTAAATATCCACTGCAGTTGCATGAGAAAGGAGAACATTGTGGGCAACAATGTAAGGCTCGGTTGAAGAGTCTCCGGCCTTGCAGAACAAACGAAGAACGATCGAGCAGCGTCCCGGTGCTTGGAGACCTACATCGTAACCTTGTACGGTAAACGTATCGGGTTCATTGAAAGTTGTCCAATGTTTCACTCTGTCACCAAATAACTTGAAGCATGTCTCAGCATACATGGCAAAGTCCTTTCTGCAAACGAACAAAGACGCGGTATTGCGGTATTTATCACTACGCTGAGAAAGAAATAATAATGAAATCATTTACATAACAATGCGGATTCCATTTACATGACTTGGGGATCAAGCCATCCATTGTATTTGTCCTCCAAAGCTTGGGGAAGATCCCAGTGGTAAAGGGTCACAAAGGGCTCGATTCCTGCATACGAAACACGCATTTCAAATCGCTACTACATACGAACATATACGGGATTTCACCTCGACTGCTGAATCATATATCAGATGCAGTTAAACAACGTTTCGATCTACGGTTGAACCGTGTTACGGTAAACCAGAACACCGGATACCTGCTGCAAGCAAAGCATTAATGAAATCGTTGTAATGATTGACACCGGCCTGATTTATCGCGCCTGAACCATCTGTTTCAAGCCAAAATGAGTGAGATCGAGAAACCGAATCAGCTTGAAGAAAAGGCTATGAAACAATGGTGTCAGCAATGTGAAACTCACTAGGGAATATCCTTGACCAAGCTATTGAAAACCTATAAGCATCCATTCCCATGTCTTTCATGAGTTGTATGTCTTCCTGTCTCCGGAAAACGAAACCGATTACGTGCCGTTCGTATTTTAGGAACACGAAAAGTCATCGGAATAAAAAAACGGAGTCTCCGACGAAGATCGTCACTTACCGAAAAGCGGTGGTACTGATCCACAGCAACATCTGCATTACTGCGATCAAGTATCTTCCCTGAAACATAAGGTGAAATGCTTAACGATAGTACACATATACAACAATACATACACATATACATAAAAAGAAATTATTACCAGAAGTATGTGAGAATGTGTCCCAAATAGTTGGTCCCCTTCCATCCTCCTTTACTGCTCCTTCAAACTGATTTTTTTATATTAAGAAAGTAATAAAAATAAAAATTAATAAACAAATATGAGTAAAGTACAACGGAGATCCTAAGCTATGCTCAAATGACCATTTTGGTCATTGAAATTTTAAAAGATACATACTAATCATCAAATTTATCATATTATTATAAAATAACCATTAAATTTTATTGAACTATTTCAAAATGATCATTAAGTTTTATTTAGCTGTTACAAAATAGTTATTAACTATCAAAATTTCACACTTATTATAATTTTAATATAATTATTCAATAAATTCCATAACTATTTTATAACTTCTAAAATTTTAATAATCAAAGCATTTTGGATGACAAACTGTCATGTTAAGACATTTCACACAGCACAGCAGATGAATTATTGTTTTGGATGACCATCCGTCATGATGGGAATAAATTGATGTTAACAGCAAATACTTTGTCGTTTTCCCTAGATTTTTCCTAGAAAATTCTCCTGTTTGGGTTGTCATTTTCCAGCAAAGTCATAATTGCAAGGAGGACCCTCTTAATTTGCTGCTGTTTAATTCCTTTTCACACAAGAAAAGAATTTATTCAAAAATTCGTAATAATGACATCTTGAAAGAATCACATGAATTGGACGACACACCGAATCATACTTTGTTTGTCTTTCTGGAAAGGAAAAAAAGTGGAATTTTAAATTATATTGTTCTAATCCAGAATAGTTTTCAATACCAGTATTTATTCGACACGTGTATTCTTCACGTATTTAAATGGTATCACTTCATACCTTATATGGGATATAAATATTTCAATAAATATTTGAAAATAAAGATTTATTTAATGGGTCACATTTTTTACTTCTTAAATACAATAACTAAATTTCAAATCATGCCGAAGGACAAGGACTAATAGCCTATTTTGACCATTTCTTTTCCTTTTTCGGGTTTATACCATTGTAGCGTAGAAATAGATAAGTACTAAATTATTGCTTATACTAATTATTATTATTTATGAAGAAGACAAAATAGAGACAATTACCATCAATATTGACAGAAGAAGCTTGCAAAATAAAAGCAAAAGTCAATGGAGTCAGAAACCAAAATTAAATAAGTAGAGGGCGTTTGACAAATTACCAATCAAATTATGGTGTTGGTCCCTCACTTTGTTCAAATATAAATATAGTCCAAATATTTTAATTTAGAATAAAATTCGATCATGTCTTCCAAATTAATTGCTAATAATGTCGATTAGGGATATTTAAAATACCTAAATTTAATTGAACTTTGGGTTCCTAATAAGTTGAGGTGGATTTTGTAGAGGAGAGAATCGAGATTGGATAAAATCAATTTAGAATAAAAAAAATTAGATTCGAGTTAACTCGGATAATTACTATAATATTTTTCTATATATAATTATGAATAATTATAATAATATCTTTCTATACATATTTTTTTTAATATCTTCATATTTTGAATAAGGAAAATATTTGGGAAATTTAAAATAATTTTTTACCCAAAAATTCAGAACAAATTCGGGACAGGTGAAAGACCACTGTTGGGGTGGGGAAGATTGAGAGAAAGTTTTCAATTTTCGATTCGGTTCGGGTTCTTGAACAAAAAACCGCCCCGTATCCATCCCCATTGTTAATTACTTGAACTAATTAAGGACGTATTAAAAGAGCATGGGGGAGGGACCAAATGCCGAATTAGACCAAAATAGTCGAGGATTAAAAATAACGGAACCTACAGTAACTGTTAACTACTCTATCTCTTCGACGGAAAAAGCTCGCCATAAACCATCATCAACCTCTAAAGACGTATCCCATTAATATATATATATATAACATAATCCTGAACCGGAAATCGATGCTCAAATTTCATCACTTTCCAGTCCTTATAGTCAGCGGCGGAGCCACCGTTTGTGTACACCCAAAAATCCGAATCTTTTTATTATTTACTTATTTTACTGATTATGTTCATTCTGAAATATTTTTTACGCATTGAAATCTGATTTTTTTTCCATTAATTACTCCTTTCACCGCTGTCTACTCTAAAAATATTTTTGTATCCGTAAATACTTTTAATCCGAGGTTGTAATTTATCCTTAATACAAAGCAATAATAATGACAAAACACGAAAAGTAAATCGAAAGACTGAAACTTGAATGGATAGATTTAACCGGAGAAGAAAGCTTAGAACCAACCTGGAAGGCAGAGGAGGCTGTTCCGAAAATGAAGCCTTTAGGGAAACTGGCTCTGCTAAAATTCTGGGAAAATCCAGCTTGGATTAACCCCAAAGCCATCACTGAAATTATAGCAAAAGCAATGCCCTTTCTAAGCAACACCATGCTTGTTTTTCCCTCTTTTTTCAGCCAAAGATTGAAGCTTTGGGATGAGAGGGTTGTTGAGAGATCAATGCAGGTGGGGAGATCTGGGTTTGGGGTTTATTATTTATAGTGAAGAGTTGGATCGAGAGAAAGGAAATGTCTGCACCAAAATGAGCAGAATCTAAAGTCCTGTGTTCACACGTGTTGTGTTCATGAGATTAGCGGGTGATAAATTGATGCTTAATTAGCTTCCTTTTGCTTCTGTTTTGGATTTCTCTAAATCCGTATTCCATATATGATAAACTACAAATTACATCACTCAACTTTCTTATTAATCATGTTTTAGTCACTAAGGTTTAAACAATTTCAATTTAATCACCGACCTTTTTATTTTAAAAAATTATGAATTGGACACACCTAATCATATTTCGTTCGACATTCTGAAAAAAAAAAACTGAAAATTTTAAATTATATTGTTCTAATCTATAAAATTTTGAATACCAGTATTTATTTGACACGTGCATTCTTCATGTATTTAAATGATATCACTTCATACCTTATATGGGATATAATATTTTAATAAATATATGAAAATAAAGATTTATAACAAACACACAGATTTTACCATCATATTGTGCATAAATAAAATACATTTGATGTTATTACGTAGGATAACCATATAATCTAAATATATATAGTGGATAAGTGATAATAGAATTGATGTTTATCATAGATAGAAGGTTTAATTAATAGAATTGATGTTTATCATAAATAAAATACATTTGATGTTACTACGTAGGATAATCATAGAATCTAAATATATACATATAGTGGATAAGTGATAATAGAATTGATGTTTATCATAGATAGAAGGTTTAATACAAAAAATAAGTATTTAAATTATGCTTTGAAATACGTTTTAGTTTTTAAAGAATTTTTTGTTAAAAATAAGTGATTAATGTTTTCTCTTATGTTCATTTATGTTCGTTTGTTTATATTCGTTTACTTTCATTCGTTAAAATATTAAGACCCAATAAATTTTAACTTGACACCCATTAATATTTTAAAATTCCATTAATTTTAAATACAAATAAAAAAAGATCAAAACAATTAAATACAAATTAAATATGAAGTTGCAACTTATACTAATGAATTTTATGTGATTATTATTTTTGTGGTTTATGTTCATTTATGTTCGTTTACTTTTGTTCGTTTGTATTTGTTTACATCCGTTCGTTTATATTCGTTCATTTGTGTTCGTTTATAATTTAAATGGACGAACACGAACAAGCTACATTCTTTAACGAACAAACACGAACAAGAAATTATGTGTTTGTTTATGTTCATGTTTGTTCATTTGTTTTGTTAAAGTTAAACGAACGAACATGAACATACCCTCATTCGTGTTCGTCCGATTCATTTACAGACGTAGTCATTACGATCCAATCACATAAAAGTAATGTTGAAAATTGTATACACTTATTCTTAAATTCTTTAGGCACGAAAACAATTACACATTATCTCTTACGTTTTGGATAATTGCTTTTCCAACTAACCAATAGTTGTGTTGCCTACACCATAATACTGGTCAACGGGCAAATATCTTGTGAATATGGACATTCGTTTTTTATATGGTTAAGTTAGATCAGATATGAATGGATGTTAAACTTTATAAATAAGCTAAAATTAATAATTTTAACTAGATATTATATATTGACATAGGTTTAAAGGTCAATAGCTTAAAATTCATAAATTTGAATCTAATTCAAAATAATTTAATAAACTTTCTTATGTACCATTCATATTTCTTTTTTTCATTTTTATTGATCGGCGGTGGAATCAACTTTGATGTTGATTGTCGATCGTCGGTTTTTTTTTATTGTCATTTAATTTTTTATATCACGTCTTTATTTTTTATCTTATTTTTATGTTTCAATAAGTCTACCTTTATGCCACGTTTCCGGTCACTTGATCGTTATTTTTTATTTATCTGTTTTAAGGGTTGCTTCAGCAACGTCATATTGATCATCGTCACGACTTATCAATATGACGTTGCTTATTTGTTATTATGATGACATCCCTTACTATAAACCTTTGAATTGGATTTGGATATTGATTTGCGTTTGTGGATAGTTTTTTCATGTCGTTTAACTCTGATTTGTGGTTTTATCGGTGATCTTTTAATAGTTTGATCCCCTTCTGTTGTTCATTTGCCAATACGATCAGATTTGTTTCTGTCTATCATGGTTTGAGTTTTGGTTAGATTTTTTAATCTTTCTTTGTAAGGTATTGAGGCGATCTTAAGTTGCTCATTTGTGACAATAATTTTAGTAAAATGTCCAAGTTACATGCTTAATTTACGATTATGATTGTAAATCTCGATTATAATTTAAATTATTTTTTTAAATAAAATTAATGGCTTCTATAAAAAAAAGTCAATCGTCAATTCTTTTTATTTTTTTCATCAATTTCTCTCTTTGTTCAATATTTTTTTAACTTTTTTGTCTTTTTTTATTTTACATATTTTTTATTAAACTAAGGTGATTACGAAATAGTATTTGTTTTAAATACTCTCAATCATTTGACAATGAACGTTCAATCACCCTATTGCAGCTGCTGGTGCTCAAACATGTGACATCTAGGAACAACAATAATTCTTTTAACCACTGAGGTAAGTTGGTTCGTAATTATTTATATTCTTATAGGAGGATTCATCATGCTATTACGTCTAGCTAGTTTCTTTGAATTTAAAATTAATTAGCATATTAACAATTTTTCATAACAGAAAGTCCGGGATGTAAAATTACATCATCATGTTCGAAAATCACAATCAAATAAAACTGAGAACAAGAAGTCACCCACGTTCCTTCACGTTGTTTAGTTGTTTCATGCGATTTGGTAAGTTAGCATGAAAACGAAGGCCTTTTTGTTTATATATATATATATACTCGTCAGATGATATCGAAAACAACATTTAATTAAACAAACCCTTGTGTATTTAGTGACATGTTCTATTTTTTTATTGGGGTGCTTGTAATAATTATCTTATAAGCAGGGCTTGCTTAAACTTCGAAGCGACGCAAAAGCATGCTGAGAAACAAGTTCATCGACGTCATTTGAAACGTGGCCTACATGCAAAGAAGAAAGTATTTTCATTATCATGCCGGCAAGTAGTTAGGTTTTGATTCTCCTCTCGTTTTCGTATGTGATTACAAGGAAAAGCAAAGAATATGTGTTATATCCGAATTTCACAAGCATCAGCTACATGCATATACACGTTAAACGATATCGACTTTCTAAACATTCTTTATTATTATTATTATTATTCATAAAAGTCTACGCTACAAGGCCACGCAACCCACGCCTCTAATAACCACCTTCCAGCTGGCAACAACTAACAATCGCTCACCACAACAGATTACTCGGCACAACAAACGCTCAACAATTTCGTTACGTAAACTTTATACCAACATTTTCTCATCTTAGTCAAAATTCAAGAATTAACGCTGCTAACAACGTTAAGTTTGCAACCACATAAGTTCAGACACCACATCGGCTATCCCACGATACTCGGTCTCTGTTGTAGAGCGAGAAACAGATTGTTGTTTTCTAGAACACCAACAAATTAAATTACCACCAATATACACACAATACCCTGATACAAATCTTCAATCATCCGAATTACTAGCCCAATCTGCATCCGAGAATGTAAAGCGCCATGCATATCCACCGAAACATTTGGAGTATCACCACGAACCATTTCCGTACTACGTCCATGAGTGAGCTCCACAATAGAACTTGGATCACCTTCACAACCACGCATAGAGCACAACAGAGGAACAGCACCTGGGACAACAAAAATATCCTTACTAGGGCAGAAAGTCTTCTTAGAAGTAGAACCATCATCACCATCGGAAGTAAAAGGAAACACCCACTCATCAAAGACCACATGTAGGGACAAGTACACCTTTCCATCTTTTGTCAAGCAAAAGTACCCTTTGTGTTGAGAGCTATAACCAGTAACGTGCAAGGTAGAGAACGAAATGTAAACTTTTGTGATTAAAATGGGCACATGCACGGAAACCATCGACAACCAAACACCAACAAGTGATCTTGCTTAGGCACTTCGTCAAACAACTTCTCATAAGGAGATACACCAATACACCATGAAGAACCTTGGTGAACAACCGATTAATGACATGAACCATAGTAACAACCGCATAAGACCAAAACCGCAAAGGTAACGAAGTTTGAGCCAATAAAGTTAAAGCCATATCAATAACATGTCGATGTCTACGCTCAACAATACCATTTTGTTGAGATGTATGAGGACAACTGATACGATGAAGTATTCTACTATCTTGAAGAACTTGACAACGTCTAATATTCGTCACCCCAATCACTTTGAACAGCTTTAATGGACACATTAGATTAAACATGCACCATTCGTTGAAACTGAAGAAACATTTGCAACGTTTGAGATTTAACACATAATAAAAAAACCCAAGTATAACAAGAGTAAACATCCACAAATGACACATAATATTTAAATCCATTGGAGGACACATGCAGAGGTCCCCAAAGATCCGTAAACACTAATTGAAATAGCATAGTGTACTGAGATTGAGAATCAATAAACATGAATTTGGGCGATGCCAAATCGGCTCCTATGCCTATGTTGTCATCACTTAAACTCTTGACAATTTCATTTACGTAAACTTTACATCAACAAAAGAAAACTATATATATATATTCATGTTCGAATCATGTTCGATATATATATTATGATCAAGCATATGCCAGGAAGTTCTTGAACCATTTAACGGAGTTTTTGTTAAAAATTAAACCAACTTTCGGTGGAAAGTTGGATTTAATTAATCCACCGAATGGAAAATGTCAAAAAGGGTGGCTTTGTGTTGAAAATTAACAATGGTAGAAATGCACTTTTAGTCATTATAATTTAGGGTATTTACAAATTAGTCCTTAAGCTTCAACTATAAATACCCTAGCTCATTTAGCTTCAAAACCATCCCAAAGCATTCTAGCTTTCTTCCAATACTATAGAGAATTTAGAGAGTTTCTTGAAGAATTGTTTT